GAATCGTGCAGGCTTGTCCCGGGGCGCTCAGGGTGCATCATTCCTGGAAGGGATGAAGGAGTATTGGGGAGTATTTCTAGGAGGCGGGCTGGGTGGTCCTTGGGGCGCTGCCGAAAGCGCAGTGCTGTGATACACTGCAGGTCGCAGTACAGCGACGTTCACAAAAAAAGCCTGTCAAGACTGATTTAAAGGTTAGTGCAGTTCAATTTAAAGCAGTAAACGAAATGTTACTGTGCAAACCGATTCAATGATCGTGCCCAATGCTTTCACACTGTGGTAGAAAAGAATATTGATCATTATAATGCTCTTCTCAGGTTTCACAATAATCTTCATCAGTATTTAATACGTGGGCAAATAATGTAAATTGTAAGTAATATTTTTTTGCCAACTTTAATGGGCTTATATGTGTCACTTCTCAAACCTGTTTCCATAGTGATTATATATGAACAAATGAAGGCAGTGCTTGAAATTCTCGACCCTTTACTTGTCTAGAATATTGTAAATTGTGTAGAACCATCTAGAATGTCCATAAAGGGAATCTTGCAAAGACTATATGTACATTTAATCTTCCTATGGTAACATCTGCTAGGGCAATATTATCTGTAGAAATAATGCAGCATTTACCAATATCCCAGCAAAATTATATAAATGCAACTCCACTTGTGACCCACTCTAACGGTCTCAAGTTTTGTTTCACCCATGCTGGGTAGAAAATATTGAGAATATCTTGTGTTTGCAGTTCAGACAGCTATTCAACAATAGCCAGAGGCTTTTGAAATAAATGATGACAGTTTATGTGGACTCATAAACCTCTGGTTGTAAAAGAAACAGGATGGACTGAAGAAAGAACATTAATGCATGGCTGGCGTGGTTAGATTTCCCACTAAGATGACTTTGAGTCTAAATGGAGAAATAAAACTGCTGAATATTTGTTAGGGATCTTGAATATTTATTAAGAAAGCTGTTGAATATATATATATTTTTATTTAAGTATTGCATTTAAGTCTTAAAGTATTTGCAAACCTGAGTGGAAAAGATTCTGGGACCTGAGGGAGTTTCAGGAAGGTAAGATCATTCTTCACAGACTTGAAATGACATCTCAGAAACAAGTATCTACTTTAACTTTTCCTAAAAAGAAATTTGTGTAATTTCAGATTATCCATTTATCAGATCACTTTGAGAATTCAGTTTTGACAACAGTTTTTAACTGACAAGGCTTTCCTGGCTTTCTTTAAGGAGAAAGTGTTCCTTAGCTCTGGCTTCCTGGAAGTCTTGTTTTATTCTGCTTGACCAAACTTCACCTGTTAAAAAAAATCAACTCAGAAAATGGTTTTTTGACTGTTAACTTCAATCAAGGGACAATTTTATAAATTTATATTGTTATTTACTGTCTAAAATAATGGAGAGTCTCTCAGTCAGATGCCAAGATTTCTTGGAATTAGGCACCTCCGTAGCCAAGCAGTGCTGCCTGCCCCCCACAGCTCTTGACCATGACCTTTGTAGAGTAGCTTGAGACTTCTGTGTCTCTGAAGATTTTGTTCATCTCTGATTTACCTGATGCTTGAGTGTAAAGAAAAGCCTGTTGAGTTTATTGTCATCTCCTGTCATGTGTCGTGGCAGAGTTTGATGAATTGAATTATTTGGCCTCATTATTTGCTCTGGTTCATGGTTGTTTTAAGGCAGTGACAGTCCTTGATCTGGTGGCCCCTTGGCAGATACTCTCTTTTTGCTTTGAGTGTTGTATGACTGGAACAATGAAATTATGATTTAAGAACCAAATCATCAGTTCCCACGTAAAAGAGATTTATTCATATGGATGTTTCACACCAAGGCCTATGAGGAACAGAACCCAATGTTTCCTGCAGTGGAAATCATTGACTTGTTTCACCAAATGAAAAGAGGAAAGAAATTTTGTTTCATTAACTTTGGATAAGCAAATGGTTGGAAATGCAAAATCAGTCCTTTCTTTTTGTGAAACAAGATAGCAGAAATCCAGGATTGTTATCCTAGCTGTGACCCCTAACTGTACTAGAGGAAAAAATTTTGACATTTTACACCCTTTAAAACCTTTGTACATTTGGTTACAGTAGGGCAAGCAGCCATGTCATGTGATTTCATATCTAACTTGTGTATTTTTAGGCCAGTATCAGCCATACTCTGCCTGGAATTATTTGTGTTTTGAACAAGAAGCATCACAGTGAGGACGTACTGAAAGGTCAGATTTTGTCACTGACAAAAATCTTGGAATTACACTGGGATTTCTTATGGTCCCCTGGCTTTAGAGGTGATTTAGCTTTCTAGAGCAGCCTCAACTGAAAACTTGCTCCTCGAGGATCAGGTTCATGTTTTCGTCAAGCAGAAGAGATACCAAGAAGACCCTAAATAATGTCTGTGTGCTAAAGATAGGATCCACAGCCACATACGTATGTGCACCTAATACACTTCAGTAGATGTTTCCCAAAGAGACAATCCCAGTGAATCATGAGCTCTTTAGTGAGAGTGAACATAATTAGACATTTATTAACAGGGGGTAACAGATGGACTAGCTGGTTTAGCAGCTGGGTTTCCAGTCATTACTCATGCAGATTGAAGTAAGGAATGATGTATCTAAAGAAAGCAGTAGGAGCTGACACCTCCTGAAACTGAGCTCCAGTTGAGTAATCCCTGCTCACCAATATTCTGGCAAAGGCTGTGGTGCAGTTTGCATTAGGAAATCTCAGAAATCTCCTTTTAGAAATTTCATAGCATGATTTGAATTTGCTATGAAACTGTCACGTACTTCACAGGAAACCTGGAAGATCCCTGAGTTCCTCTCCTGCATTTGCAAGTCTGGTGTGGGAGTGGGGCCTGTGTGTTATTTGATTGTCATGACTAGCAGGGCGAAGAAAGTAATGGTAAACAGACAGAGCTCGCTCCCAGTAGGTCGTGTCAAGGATCAAGATGATTTGTTAGGGTGTTGTTAGCAAGAAGTCATGTTTTTCAGTTCATCAGTCCCAAAGGATCCTGCCTAAACAAAAGCGCTCTTCCTCAGATGTAGGAGTGGATAGGAAAGATTCTGGAAAACCTCCAGGGGAGAAAGAAAGTCCAAATTCCAGGAGTCCCATGCTTGTTATTTAAAAGTAGTCAGGGTTTCATTAATGCTAACTTATGCATTTTTTGTCATTCCACTGAAATTACAATTTAAACAAACTAAACAATAGGATTTTATAAGATGCAATGTTTTTAATGGACTGAGAACGCTGGCTTTGTATTCCGTAGTCTCTCATGTAATCTGAAATCCACATTATAATGACTTTAGTATGTTGGGCTGCTACATTTGCTTTGTCATCCTTTTTTAAAATTAATTTACAACTTTGTTACGCTTTGACCGATATTTCTATGCTTTAGAACTGTGGTCAAATTTGTGTTGTGAAATCTCAGTGATGTCCCCGTTGAGTGAATTAAAAGTACATTCAGACACAGAATTTCCTCTCCCAGTCCAAGTTCTGTCTCACTGAATAGTTGTGCAGTAGGTCAATAAGGAACGTTTTCAAATGTGCTTAAATTCCTTAGGTGCCAAGCACTATAGACAGACAGTGGGATTTAAGCTGCTTTAGTTGATTTAATTGTCTCACATGCTCAGTCTGTTCATGATATTCAGGCTTGTGTAGAGGATGTGGGGTGGACAGGCCCTTTTGCTGGCCAGCTGACTCACTTGTCTGAAATGTATGCACGGTGGTTTGTGGCTTGTCCTTCCTAGCTGCTTGGAGCACAAGTCTCTAAGGAGTGTTCCTGCTTCAGTTTTTTGTAGTTTTGATTCTTAGCCTAAGTTCTCCCATTCCCAGTTAGATTTTTTCCTTGATGATATTAATCTGTTAAACTGTTTAAGACTAATTTTTTAAAAAGAAAGAGCAAAGTTGTGTGAATTTAATCTTTCCGGTTATTCATCCATTAATTCATCTCCTCTTAGAGTTTGGAGCTTAAATTCAGACTCGCAGTGACCTTCCTGCATTCAGAGGTTTGAAGTTATCTGTTACATATTTCTTATTCTGAAATAATGGAGTTCTCTGGTTTATGCAGTGGGAAAGTTTTAGTAAACTGCTGCTGAAAGGAAGTGGCAGAAGTATTCTGGGCCCTCAGAGGAACCCAGGATTCTCAGCTCTGTCTCAGAGGGTAAAAAAATCTTAAGAACTAAGGGAAGTGAAATACTACTTGTTTTTATAGTAGGTATATATAGTTTCATTCAATGGCCTTTGAATTTGTGAAAAACTTCCCTTTTACTTTAGTTAGCATTACACTGGGCTTCTAATAAAAAACTAGGGTTAATTTTAGAAAATCAGTATTTAATTTCTTAGAGGAAGCATATAAATTACTGTTAATTCTTTAAAGGAGTATAAAGTAAGAAAACTATCATATGGGATCACTTGTGGTGGTCTTGTAATTTTAGTAACGATTCTGGTAATAAGAAAAATGTTGGCACAATAAAATCTTAACCGAAATACTTGAAACAGAAACACACTTTTCTTTCTATGATTTTTGTAGTCATTCAGTCCTCTGCATGCTATAAAACTCAATAATTACAGTTTTAGGTCTTGAATATTCTCCTTGATTGAGCAATTAGATCCTTTATTGTAGTTTTCAAGGCTTGTAGTCGGGTCCAGGACATGAAGTCAGCTTAGCTCTGTTCTTTGTTGTGTTAAGGACTCCCAGTGTGACCACAGACATGTAATTTTAACACTAAAATTGAACAGATTACGTTTATTAGAGACTTGCCATTGACTCTTCTTGTAATGAGAGCTCTTTTTGCTCTTGAGTTTTCTCCTCTGCGAAGTGGGGTGATGGTATTTGCCTCAGAGGTTACCTGTGGGCAAGTGATTGAAACATGGGGGTCAGTAATGGTAGGAGGCCTAGAAATCTTTGGTAGAAGTTACAGGTACTTTCAGGATAGAGTTTGTTCTTCCTATTGCAACAGTAAAGAAAAGCTGAGAGATGAACCAGGTGGCAGCTGCTGATAACATCCTGACACAGTAGTGGTTACATTTATTTTTAAGTCTACTGGAGGTCTTCTGCACTACCATGAAATAGTGCATGTCACATATTTCTGTGAGGCAGTCTGCAAAGAATATTGTTTTCCAATTCTGAGAGAAAGGTATGAGCCTGTGCATTATTTTGAAGAAAATATTTTTCCTTTTGCTGTTGGTTAACCATCTGTGCACATTGTTTATTCTCATGATTACTCAAATTTGGAATCCACTGACATTGCTTGAGGTTTTTAATTGATGATTCCAGTTGTTTAATTTTTGGAATAGCCACTGCAGGCAGACCTGTACTCTCTATTTAATCTGAGTACCTTTCCTCATTGATAAAAAAGTTGAGTGTTATGTCCTTAGTAGGAGGAAGTAATGCACGTGCACCAAGCCCAAGATGAAAACACCAAAAAGGCCAAGCAGGACTTTGATTTTTACAGGGGTAAATTCACAGGACCAGTTTGTGGTCAAAAAGCAGTAATCTCTTATGTATGCTGTAGATACGTGAACCTTGATAGATGCTCTGTGTCCTGACTGATGAGAGCCAGCCACTCTGTCCTTCCCCACCCAAGTGACACTTTTGGACATCAGGACAAACACACTGTGCTGTGCAGAGCTGTGAGTTGTGAGGGCCCATCTCAGCCTGGTGACAACAAATGGCAGGGATTTATCAACTGATACAGTGTTGCACAGAGAACTGCCCTGTGAGTGTCTTACAGGCCTTTATTGTCAGGATATTTGAAACGTGCACATCCCTAAGCAGCAAGAGTGAGATATCACACAAATTACTTCATTGTTCTTTAACAGAAGCTCTTTCTGTGTCCATATCCAGCCTTGTCTGTTAATGAATTCTCTTGCTCCTTCTCTATCAGACCGTTTTAAATTTCAAAACAGTATTTTACAGCTTATATTTTGTTACAGCATGTAACAGGTAAAAATAAAGTTAAATACTTTGTCATTAATAAAATGAGCTGTGTAGTTAAAAGTATTGCCTCAAGGTAAATCTTAATTTCTATAAATTGAAAGTTTCCTACTGAGATTTACTTTTCATAAGAAAATTGAGACTATTAATTTCTGCAGGTAACTATAGCTCAGAATCAGTTTCTGTTACTGATACTGGTTTAATGTGAAAGTATAGATAATTAGTTTCAGCTTTGTGCCCTTCTTTCATCTGTTTGTACAATGGAAATTATTGTCTGTCTTTGAAGAATCTCTTAGACTGTAAACTGCTTAAAGCTGGGACTGATGGGTCTGTGTGCTATGCTTCAGCCTGCAAAGCAGTGACCTCCGGGTGGGGAAAAGTTTACAAACTTAATCAAGATAAACATTATGACTTCTGTAATAATTTTGTTCGTTTGTTTTCTCAATCTTTCTGAGATCTTTTGGGGATGAAAAATATTACTATTCCGAGGCTTTTCTCTTTAACAGTGTTACGGATTCATGCTCTTGTCATGGCTGGGGTTGAAATGTGTGCTCATGAAGCTGAAGTGCCAATTGTAACTGCTAATTGTAACTGTCCTGCTCTGTTGTTTGGGGCTTCTATTTCGTGCTGTGAAGCCTCTGTAGGCCAGTCCTTAGCCCCAGTTGCTTGTGCTTTAACCCATCCCAGGATGCTATTCTATGTTGTTTTGTATGCTGACTGAATACTGCCAGATGAGGCAAAAATGAACATTTGAGGTGCTGGATAGTAGAGAATTCATTCTTTTCTTCTCAGGTTGTGCCCAGGAACAGCTGCCTGTGTTTTCCTGGGATCCACCAACACAAGCAAGCATGGACATGGACTAGTGCATGGACAGGACAAGATGCAGGTGATCCTTTTACTTTAGATAAGAAGAGTTGTGGCATTGCTGGTGCCACTCCAGGACATGCACTTTAACACATCATGTCACAGCAATTGGCAGTGGCCAGAAACCTTTGTTCTTTACACAGCAGGAGACAGAAATGCAAGTTCATGCTGAATTGCAGGAATATATTGATTCATTTAGTTCATGCATATAATGAAAATGGTTAGATTATAATTTACTGACAGGTTTTTTGCAATAAATAAATAAATAAAATGTATGTGCCTCTATTCAAAGTTCTTTTATCTTGTCCTAGGTACTTTAGTTTAATTAAAGAGTTTCTGATAATTCTTTTTGAGCCTTAAGGAGCTGTTTATTTGCTGTCATATTCAACATTTATTTGTAGTTCATTCTTCTGATTAATTTAAAAGTAGCAAAGTCAGGAAAATCCTAATTTCTAAGCAGGCAGATACTATAGTACTCAGTAACCACCCAATTACTGATATTTTTTCTTTGCTTGCTTTTTGCCCTCTGTAGCTTGTGTTACCATTTCTAAGTGTATTCTGATATGTACTTTTCCATGGGTTACAAGACTATGAATCCTTGTATGCCATTACTGCTTTTATTTTAGTAGGAGTTTAACAAACAAACCACTGATTTAATTTATGTGTTAATAACAAATAAAGAAAGACTCAGTCAAACAATGGCAAATACTTTTAGTTTCAGGACATCATTTGGATGTGATATTTTGTGTATCTTAAGCTCAGAGTTCTCTTTTTCACATTTGTGTTCAAGAAAGCGTAGTTATCACAAAGATAATTTTACAGTTAATTACACAAAAAGAGTTCTCTGATTTCCTTTATTATTATTCATTTGCACTGTTAATATTCAGTTCTTCTGGGAATACAACTTTGTACCCCAGGGAGCACACTTTTTCTGAAATAATTTTGGAATTGTGTTTGTTAATTTCCATCCCATCAGAATTGTCTTGGCTAATTTCCTGGGCAAACAGACTGTGCATCTTTATGCAGAAGGAAACAGAGGGAAGTGAGAACTGTGAAGGACTGCTGCCTCAGAGCTGCTGTTACCATAGAGCTGCTAACGAGGAAAAAACTGCAGCATGGATTTCTTGTGCTGTTGAAGGTAAGATGAGGGCACAGCAAAGACTGTAGGAGGGGGAGGGGAGGCGAGGCAGAGGGGGGGGAGAAGAGGAAGAAAGTCTGCGTCCTTGCTGTCTAAAAAAGGAAATTCAGTGTCAGTGTTCATGAGCAGAACTGCTGGTGCAGAAGAACAAAGCTCTCTCAGTTGTTTAGGGTAGCAGGAGTGATGAGCAAGCAAGCACACTCCCATGCTTTCAGGAGGAAATACTGCAATGAAAGGAGGGAGAAGAAGAGTGACTTTTTCGTTTAGAAAATACTCACTGCTGCTTCAAGGTAGCTGCTTTTTGATACTACTTTGGCATTAACGTTGTTACCCTGGGTAAAGATATCTGTGAAAAAACTCAGTAGAGAGATAAGAAGAAAAAGTGGTGGTAAAAAATTCAGCATAACATTGAGCCGATTGAATTCTGTTTGTATATATTAAAATATGTCAGTTGTTGCATTCAGCTGTGCAGTGCTGTGAAACCTTTCACAATGCAAGTGAAACTATGGTTTTTGTGCTAAGATTGTTGGGGTATATTAATGTGTTATCTGCCTTTTATCAATGATCTTTCATCTTCTGTTTTCTAAGCAGATATCTTTTGAGTGGAAATGTATAATAAATAAATGAAAAATAAATATTAGGTACTCAAGAATACTGACTACAGAACTGACATCAGACATGCTTTCTGTGGGATCTCTTTAATGGGGTGAGCTTTGTAGTCTAAGACTCTTCAAGATCATTGCAGAATTATATGTGAAACACTCATGCAAAAGCTACTGCTGCTCTTTCTACATCTGTCTAGCATGTTATATATTTTTGCTGTCCTTCACCTGCTCCTTCTCTCAGTCTTTTGGCTCTTTCTGAGGCAGCTGAACCCACGTGCCCTGCACTGCAACCCAGCACACCTGCTGTGTTTGAACTGTGGGGCCTTGAAGAGAGTAAAACAAACTGTGGAGGCAGCGATAATGCTGTCTTGGCTCTGCTGGTACTCCTGTGTTGATATTGCTTAACCATCTGTTTGCTGTGGTATCGAGTGTGCTTGGATAGAACAGCCCTTTCTCACAATTTCTTGTTTTGCACTTTATCACCATTTATCAAATGGTGTTTGACTATTCTCCTGCAGTCTGTTTGCTATTTGGGTCAGAGTGAATTTTTTTCCAATAGCAGCCTGGTAGTTCAGCAGTTCAGGCTGTAAATAGGGATTCACTATTTTTTTTTTTAAGTATTACCATCTCACACTGTGAAATTGTTATTCTTTGAGATCATAGAGCTTAGCTCATGCATGCCATTTCCCAGCCATGAGTGGCACTGGGTAAGGTACATCAAACACAAATATATCAGTTGCCCTTTCCAAGGTGTGTCATGGGGAATTGGATGTTTAAGTCTGTTTTTACTAGTCAGACTCATTTTGTGATTCAGACTAGTTTTGTCAGACTCATTAGCTGCAGATAGTTCTGCAGTCTTCAGAACCATTCTTTTTATTTACTATTGTCCCCAGTGCACTTGGGGTTGATAACATCCTGTTAAGGTTTGCATGAGTCCTTTGAGCTTAATCCATGGCTGAGGCACCCCCTGGCAATACAAGTGATTGTGATTCAGTTCAGTGTCAGCAAGAGGTTTAATCACCTTCTGCTCCAAACGGTTGTTAAGTGCCCTGCTGAGTTTGTCTTAGGACTGACTTCCACAGAGCATTGGGTGCTACATTCCAGAAGAGATCACTGAACTTCTGGGTCAAACTAGTTTGGGTTCTTCAGTGTTGTAAGGTGATTATTCAAACAAATATGAGTGTATAATAAACACCTCTCTGTACAGTAACTGTTAAAGGAGGAATGGATGGACCCTATGCAGACTAAAATTCAGTTGCCTTAGAATAGCTATTTAGTAGATGGTTAGTGTTGCAGTCTAAGATTGATTTAATAGTTCTTCATTGGCAAAAACAGGTGGCAGAAGCACAGTGTTGCTAAATGACAGGTTATTCTCGTAAATTTGCAAACAGTGTGAGTATTTATTGGTTCCAGTTGATGAGTTGATGGTGGCTGATGTGTATTACAGTGAAAAAGAGCAGAGCTGCAGCAGTGCTGATATGTTTTGAGTGGAGTGCACTCACATTGCACCCTTTGTATTGACACTGTTCCTGTGCCAAACGGTCGGCTACAACCGACAGATCTGTCACCTTGAGTCAAAGTTCCAGAGGCGTCTCGGTTGTCTTACAATAGAAAAGTAACTTAACTGGAAGCTAAACAGGGCAGAGGAGTTGTTTGTAAATCTACTATTCTGTCCATACATCTGGATTGAACTCTGAAGAAAGAGGTGATCTCATAGTTTATGCTTGGTTTGCTTGCTTCTTGCACCTGGTTTATATTGTGGGAATGATCAAGAGAATAAGGAAGTATGGCAAAACATTACCCAGAACATTCTGATCTCTGTATTTGGGCCACCAAAGAAAGCTGTTAAGCCACTAGTGCTGCTGTTGTTAATACCAGGACCTGCACCAATTCCCAAAGCACTGTAAAATATAAGAGCTACTTTGAAGGTTAATTCTGCCCATAATTACCTTTTAGAGGCATTGCACTGCTCAATGTCCATCTCAGCCACTTCCAAGTAATATCAGTTTTTTACACCATAGATTTTGGCTGAGTGCTCTAAGGCCTAATTTTTGAAATGCTGAGTACCCATAATGCTATTTAAGGTTAATTTAAGGTTAATTCTCAGCACAATTTAAAATCAGGCCTCTGCATTCAAACAGGAGATTTTAGTTTAGCAGTCACAAGACTGCTTAAATGATCAGTCTGAATTCTAGATTCCTTCTGGAACTGATTTTTTTTTCTTTTGTAAAGCCTGAGCTAAGTCCCATTATACCCCTTTATTTTTATTAATTTATGAGCATTTCTACTCTTTTTGATAATATACAGCTGCTAGAACAGCTGGCATGTATAAATGAAGAGAATTCAGCTATAGTAGATTTACTTTTACATGATGTTTGATGGCATTAGTCTTTTTTTCTTTTGGATTGAATGTCAAGGAATTAACTTCTGCTGACATGCTTAGGGGTTAGAATAAGAAATAAAACTATATTCCTTCACATGTGTCTGGTGGATTTTCAAAGTACTAAACTATACTGTTTTGGGCATGTAAGTCAAAGTCTTTAAACATGTTATAGCTCCTGTGGATGTTCTGTTGATGAGCATTTTGTTCCCCAGGTTGAAATCAATAATCCTCAATTCTTGTCTACCCCAACTGTTTGAGTTTTTTTTATAGTAATCTAAGTTTCAGTTAAAAGTATGTCCTCCCTGAGTGACAGGTACTTCCTTGTTCATTCTCTGCCCTAGTCAGACTTGTTCCCTTGTTTTTCACTCATATTATTATTTTTTTGTTTCAAGCCAACTGGTCTGTTATGGCTCCTGTGATAAGTGCATCCAGTGGAAAGTGGAGAGGCATCCACCAAATTCAGACAGTGCTTCTAATAAATATATTTTTGCTCTTCACTTTTAAAACCAATATAATTCTTTGGCATATCTCTGGATTCTGCAGAGAATTCTGATTCTCTGTGGCTCAGTTTGAACTGAAACAGTAAGGTAAGTAATTTAATGCCTGATCTTCAACCCACAGATCAGCACTTTTCTCTTCATGGCAGAAGAGAAAAGAATCTCTGTCAAGTTTCAAATCCCTGTTACTCCATATTAGTAGGAGTTACTTCTTTGGAGCTTATGGTTGAGTCTTCACTGAGTAGCAGACTGAAACCAGTGCAGGAACAGCAGTACTACCAGTACTGCAGAAAGATACCTTACCCAATTAGGAAAACCTTCCCTCTTTCCTTCTTGAAGCAGCCTCCCTCTTCTTTTAGAATGCAGTAGAAACATTTTGTTATTAATTACATTTTACCAAATGAACTTCACTTAAAGCTTGATTAAAACTGTGGAAGCTGAATTATACTAATGTAGTGTTGTAAACACAGCAGCATTAGGAGTTGTGTGTGAGTAGCTGGTTATAGAATTGAAAATATCTACCCCCATTATTATTTTTTAAGAATATTTGAGGAATTTGTAGTTTGGATTTGGTACAGCTCAATGGCCACACAATGATGTCATTTCTAATTCTATAGCCTCTTGTCCTCAGAGCTGATATTCCTAAATTGGCAGCAATTATCTTGCTGGCTGAGAGACCTGAGAAAACAAGGAAGGAAATGGGTTCTTACATCTTATCAAATGCCAGTGTTCATTGTTCATGCTCCCCATGTTCTGATGTCAGGTGTTTGCACAGCTCTCTCCCATGGCTTACACTGTGTCAACATAGCACAGGAGGATGACTGGAACTGCTGAGTGTGATTGAAAGGTCGTGTCTGAATTGTGGCAAAAATCCAATAGGCCATCCATAGTAAAGCTGAGGAATTTTCATGGTCAGTTAAAATACATATTTTGTCCCACAGTCACAGGTGGAATGAACAAGAGAGAGAGCACATTAAATTCAGACAGCTGCAGAATGGCCATCATGTGGCTCTGGATGTCAGGAGTATCATCAACAGAACTTTAATTCAGACATGTTTTCATACCCCAGAGCCATAGTTCCTGCACTGTCTGCATCACTAAGAATGCAATTTTTCTGGTGCAGGAGTAGCCTTTATTTTTTAGGTTCATGAAATTACACTTAGAGCATTATTTATACACCTTGCTCATAATAAGTAACTGGCAAACTTCGGAGATCTGTTGCTAGAGCTTAATATTTAAAACAGATTGCACAGATGGGGTGTTCTTATCTACATTGTTACTCACCCAAACGAAACGCTGACTGTTAAGCCTACTAAGCCTTTCCTGGCAATCACAAAACTGACATAATTTGGTGATCATAAACCCTGTGGCAAAAAATGTGCCATCTGCTGGCCAAGGAGGAGAGTACTCGTTAGCCACTGTGGTCCCTGGACAGAGTGCGCCAGCGCGATTCCAGCAGTAGGAGAAGCTGGGAGCTTTGCAGAGCTCTCAGCAGCAGAGCTGAAAGAAGGCTGGTCAGTAGTTTCCTGACAGCAGATTCTTCCCTCCGAAGGTGCTGTTTTGTTGTAATGAGAACATGTCAATGAGAAATTGAAATGTTCCGTTCTAAAAATATCTGAACGTTCTGTTTCAAGATCTTTAGACTGGAATACTGATTTTTATTCCAGAATGATTTTTTTTTAAAAAGTAATAATTTTTGTAAATTATAAAAGCAAATTGAAATTGTCATCTTTGTATTAAACATTAATGAAACCTCACATCATCACTATAGCACATGGTAAATGACCACTCAGTCTGTCTCACTACTCGTAATCATGTACGACCACTCCCCATGATTCTCTGTGGGGAGAATACATCAAGGGTGTGACTGTCTTTTCATTCAGATCAGGGACATCAGAAATGGGAAGAAAACTTTGTTTTTCCTCATCTTTGCACCTTTACTTCTTTTACTGCAATTTTGTGCTAATTACTTAAATTGCTAGGGTGATTTAAAGAAAAACTGGTTTGAGCTTATGCTCTCTGTAATAATTCAGCATACACAAAAGAGTTTGGAGATACAGACAAAATCATACAAGTCAAAATTCAGAAAAAAGAGAAAAGAAGCAGAGAACTAAAGATAACTCTCAAGGCTTTCCTTTGTCTAGCTTTGTAAGTTTAGTAATTGTCACATGGTAAAAAGAGAAGATAGAGTTTGCATTTTATTCTGGAAGGAAAGAAATGGGAAGAAATGCTGGATTTGATAAGTGATTGATCCAGGATTTATTATTTTTGTATCTTTCTCTAAAATGGGGCTCCAGCTAAGTTGTGTGACTTCTGAAAGATTGGTGACTTAGTTTTCAGAAAGAAAGGAAGTACAGTGGTTCTGATTTTGTATCACCAGTCATGACAGATGTCTGTCTGTCTATATGGCAGCCAGTTATACTGTGAAAAAAACCCAAAACTTTTAGATGCACATAACCAGGCTGAGTTTATATTCACAGGGACCATTTCTAATTTTGAAATTCATGACTTTTTCAATACATTTCACCAAAGCTTTTAATGCAATTAGAAAAAAAGAAACAAGGCACCAGAGAGGGGAGGTGTGCCTACACTACCAGGGAATGTTTAGATTCAAGGCAGCATGAGTTCAGTTCTGTGATGTGTTGGGGACTGCCCTGCCACAATTCAGAGAGACCCTCCTGCATGTCTCTTGCATTTTACTTTTGTTCTTACCTCCCTTCTTCAGTTCCTGTCCTTTTTAGCTCCTTGGCCATTGTGCCTTCACCCACTTCTCCATCCCATTCAGTCTGTTTCAATTTTTGCCACTCATTTGCTGTTTTCTTTTGTTCTTTTCACCCTGTCCATATCATTCCACCCTGCTTCTGTCCTTTCCACTTCTGTGTCTTCTGACCATTCCTTGTAGCTACTTCTCTTTCAAGATCATCCTGGACCTGTTGTGCCAAGACCTCCTGATCCTGTTCATCCATCAGTTTGCATTCTCTGAATGGACTTCACTTGTCTAGTTCTTCCTCACCAGGGAGGTGGTGGCCATAGAAGCACAGCACACAAATGAAGGACCCATTCCCAGCTGTTGAATATATAGTCTTGATGCCACAGAATTCCAGGAGTTGGGATGAGCAACTTCAGGGAATTGCAGCTGTGTTGGATTATACTTATTCTGTGCTTTCAAGCAATATGGTCTTTTTCAACATCAGTGAAATGTTACCACTTGTAGCACCTTACCCTGTCAATAATCTTTTATGGGACCAAGTAGTGGCTCAAACTGGTGAACTGATCTGGGAATTATAGTATTAATTTGTTTATTGCTGCGTATTATATTTTTTTCAGCTGAATAAGTTATTGGGTCCATACAGAGGGAAAACATGTTTTAATTTGCAAGAAATATTCAATGCTTTTTAGCTAATGTGTCCCACAAAACCATGAACCTTTGGAAGATATCCAGAATAGAAAATTCAGTCCAGTCTCAAAATTATGCACAACCTAATAATGGAAGAAGGCAAACAAATTTTAGGTGTCTCAAGAGTTTGTAATTTTGTTGTCTGATCTGTAATATTTGTGCCCTTCTGCCACATGAAAATCTGTCAATCATAGCGCTTCTACTGTGTAGTTAACATAATATGTATAGGGAATAACAAAAGTGCTTTATTTAGGATTCTCTCAGCTGTCCATGTTATCCAACCTGCTAGTGATAGACTGGTGGCAATATTAATTTGTTTAAAGAAATTGACAGGTAAAACAGGTTCCTTTGTTTTATTTTGGTCTTTATTTCACTCCAGTAAATCAGAGAAATATTATTTCATATATATGAAGAGGCTCCCTTGCTCTCTGTTGTCTTGCTTTTGTTTTACCCATATTTGGTTGAGAATCTTCACGTAATCTGCAAAATTCTTTCTGCCATTCTTTTAAATATAATACAGTGAGATTTGATGCAGTGATTCACTTTGTGCTTATAGCAACTTGAGGCAGATGAGTTACACTGATTTACATATTTGCAAATATATGCAGATACACAGTATTGCCATATGGTCTTAGGTCCCCAGAAGTGCTGCTGACCTACTTGAGTCTTTCAGTTAACAGAATAGGAGCTTTTGCCTCTTCACATTTTATACATTTCAAAAGGCACTATTTTTTTTTTTCTATGTATCATTTCTGAAAAGGATCCTACAATGTTTGAATTATTGTAAAGCATCTGCGAGATCAAAGTCTTCCTCTTCGTTTGCTGTTGCTGAATCAACATTTTCTGCTGGAGAAGGCAAGAGATCCTCATTTGTGAATTCTCTGGGAAAGCTAGGAGAGTCTGGAAGATCCATAATTTGTTTCCATGGTTTTCCAGGACATCTGGGGTGAGGAGATTCTGGGCGATCTGGCAACCCATTAAATAAAGAAGTATCAGGAAGAATTAGTGGCTCTGCAGGTGTACTGGTTTCCTTTCTTGCAATCCCTGGATTAACCAGCTCCAGTGCTGTTTCAGCACTGGATGATGGGACGGTTTTGTTTTCATTAAAACCCCTTTCACTGGACTCTCCAGAAGATTTGGGGTTTGGATGTTTGTTTACCATTTTTACCGTGTTTTTTATGCCCACACCCATGGCCAATTCTGCACCCTCAACCAATTTCATGCCCATGCCTTTTGTCAGACTCATGATTGTTTTTACATCCATGCCCATGCTTATGCCCATGTTTATGCTCAGGTTCACCTTTGCCTTCTGGCTCCTGTCCATTGTCTTCCTTTGTTTCTTTGCCAGGACTTTGACTGTCTTCTACAGTGTGTGAGGGTGAAGCACTCCGGAAAGGTGTGAATCCAGGAGGCCTTCTTGCAAAAAATTCCTAAAAGACATAGCCATAATAGCCACATTTGTTACATGAACAAGAACAATTGCTTCAGATTTGGAAAATTCAGAAGCTGGCCCATTGTAGTACCTGAATAATTTAGTAGATTTTCAAAGTAAATTAAATAGTTCTCTCTGTGATAAGCATACAAACATAAATATCCTCCCAAATAACTCTGGAATATTTTAACAGCTGTATGTGTAAAAGAAAAATGTCTATATCACTGAAATTCTGCCAGGTAAAGAGGGGAATGATACTATAGAGGGCAAAACACATGTACTGGTTTTAATTTATGAACAATACAGTTGATTTCTAGGACTAGATGTCCCCATAATTGTTAGATTATAATACTCAGATGTATAAAACCAATTTATGCTAAAGGCTAACACATCTCTGAGTAGTATCAATAGCAGAATATACAAAAGATCTGTGCCATTTTGTTATATAAAAATGTAACTATTCAATTTTTTGCCTCTAGATTTGGCATATGCATTTCAGAATACTGCCTAGAAATAACACACAGATTAAAGCTGATAATATGAAACACTCGGTTGTTATTGAGTAATTTCTACTCCCCTGTCACTGTTCAACTGGAAGACAAAGACTGAATACATGGTGCACAGTCACTGTCCAACATGGGTTTCATTTCTCTCCACCAAAGCCTCTGATCATTATCTAAC